AGAACTGTTTTGTCGCCATCTAGTGTTTACATTCATGAACTACGGAGATAGCAAGGTGAATTATTACTAAAAACATTAAATAAAATCTGAATTTGACAGCGCTCATATCAAGACACAACTTAGGTTAAATAGCATTGTCAAGGTGTGTCTGATTTTAGTGTATTACCTATGTCTAGTGGTTGGTGAACTCTCCCCTCCATCTTGGTACGGTCCGTTGCCTAGGTGCTAGTAGAAGCTAGTGTACTCCGCCATGCCTGTCCAAGGCGCTGGGCTTTCTCATCACTGCTAGCCCGAGGTGAGTTAAACATAAACTGTGGTGTGCTGTATGACTTCCTGAAGCACAGAACCAGTCAGTTTCGTGGATAAAATTCCCAGTAATAACATTTAAACTTTAATCAGTAGCCAACAATCAGACTCTGGAATAAGCTGCCGGACCGTTAGCGCCAGCGCGATCTTTGTATGCAGCCTAATAACTTTGGCAACTTTACTACCACGGCGTTCTCGAGTAAAAATCCGCTCATTCGTGCAGTGTCACATGAACCGATTCTTAGTTATGATTCAATACGCGGCGAGTCTTTCCAAAAAGCTCAGAAGACACTGTCCTTCTACTGAAAACATAGTTTGCTCCTCCTTCGGTGTCAGACATTTTGAGAAGAAAGCCATAACAAACGAAGGATCTTTCAGAACTGAGGTAATTCAGGTTTCTCTTAGAAACTATTGATCACTTTACAAAAAAAGATACACAATATTTTCCTGCTAGAAATTCCATTTAAACTTGCACTTGTAAGCTGCTTGAGCTGTAATCGTTGCTATTTATATCAAAAGCTTAATGATTAAAGAAGCAGATCATACATAGATGAACAGGCTGAAGTTTTGCATAGCTTCAGGTGATACAGTGTAGTCAGCTGTCACGGTGCAGCTGAAGTAGGCAGTGCCTGAGGTTGTTACTACAGGTCTTCTTGTCACGATTTAGCCAAATTGTTCTGAGAAATGTTATCTTTTACAGAGCTGCTAGTACGCATGGATTACAGCGACAATGGGACTGATGGAGCTTGAGGTTCTGCTCTTCATTGCCACAAAATGGGACACCATGTAGGAACAGCTGCAGCTTAAAATAAGTATTTTCTCAGCCGAGGAAATGGCTTCACCAAAGTCAACGTTGATGGATCATGGAGAGGTAACTTTGCTTCTGACAGATACATTCTCCATAAAGTGTTGCTTTTCTATAGAAACTCTTTCTCTCTACAGAGTAACATCACATTAAAAGCTTTTCTAAACTGCATTTTCTTCCCCATTGTCTAGCGCATCTATATAAGAAAGAAAAATAAAAAATTGTAGTCATACAACTTGCACCAGTGCCTAACATTTGTCAGGATTAGAAGGGCGTTCTCAATTTGCAGCCTTTCAGCCATTTGTTCCAGATGAACATAGACCAGCTGGTGGCACGTGAGACTCGATACTTTGCCTGTGACAATGTGGTGCGTGTTGTAGGAGCCGTAACAACTCCTTTAGCATTCCAAAATTCTGCACGGCTTCTGCTCAAGTTACCAAATTCTGGAACAGGTGTTTGAGTCGCCGTCGTCATAGTCTGAGCATGCAAAAAGATCGGCCTAACTGAGCCAGTTTCTTCATGCAAATTGTAGTTTTGCAAGTCGTAATACATGCTTTTGATCTCTTGTGTAGTTAATAAATCAGTCATTTGCCTCCCCTTTCTCTTTAGTTCTTGACGGAGCTGGACCAGATTACCAAGCGGCTTCAGGACGATGGCGTGCCTCCAGAGGCCGGAGCGGCGGAGCGGCAGCAGCATCTGTGGCGGCAGCTGCTCGACGCCGAGGCAAAGCTTCAGTCGGTCTCAAAGGAGCTGCAGACCTTACGTACGCAGCAGGCCAATGAAATGAAGGAGGTGAGGCAGTCCAGAGTTGCCTTTGTTTACCAGCTGTAGAAAACGTCACGTTACCTGGTTTTACTTGAATCAGTTTAAGAATTGTATGTTGTTTGACTCTCAGGTGGAGAGCTACGTAGCTCACATTCGGGCGCTGCTGGAAGAGTGCGAGTGTCTGACTGCAGAGTACGAGAGAGACAACGAAGACTTGAGACACAAACTTCACCAAGTCAAACATCAACAAGGTGCTCTCAGTAAAGCTGTTACTAGCTATTGGTTTTTACATTCATACGGCATCCTCATTATTTATTGGCACCTCTGGTAAAAGATGTGTAGAAACCTTTAGAACATTTTAATCAGTCACTTCCGTCCTCACACTGAACAATGCGATATTTCCAGAAAAAAAAAAAAAAAAAAAAGATGTTTCTGTCCCGCCAGGATAAACATAAAGGTGCACATTTGCTAAACTTTAACTGAAACTGGATGCTTTAGTTGGATGACTAACACTGCATGTCAACAAAGGATGATTATGTGGATAAGAATCTCATGCTCACTGCTAAGTACACTCACAGGACCTGTGATGCTATCCAGATCACTTAAAGATCACTTACTAGCTCTTTGGAATATTTGGACATTTTAAACAATCATCTGGCGACCGCATCCTAGTTCCCCTAAACAACTTCAAAAAACATCTATAGCTTTATTTCTTTCCCCTCAGTGGAACATTTTCTCGTGTTTATGCCAACTGTAGAGCGTTATTTCGGTGGAGTGTCGTTTCTCGGCACGACGCGACGGAGTCATTGTTTCCTTTTAGAGATCCAGAGCAAGGAGATGGCGGAGATGTTGTCACAGGAAGACCTGGGGGAGATCGGCTTGAGCAGCCCCAGTGAGCAGGTGGCTTATCTGCTGGTGGAGAGGGCCACTCTGCTGGAAAGGCTGGAGGCTGCCGAGGGGAAGCTGGAAAGTCATACCCTCGCCGTTACCGACAGCGACCATCAGGTGAGAGTCCAACAGAGAAGTCGTATTTGAAGTGGTCCCACCAACAAGGAATAGATCGGAGAGCTGATCCAGGGAGTTTTGTCTGTTGCAACGAAACATAATCTCAATTCTAAAATATAAATATATATCAGTGTAACATGTAACTACCTCATTCACATGCAGCTTGCATCTGTGTGCATCGTTTTAACAGGAGCACATCCAAATAATGGGAGAGAGTCTCAGGCAGCAGAGGGAGGACTTGAGCAAGACCGTAGATCACATGACGAAGGTGAGGTCATCTTAAGCTCTTCCTTAAGGTCTGGAAGGGAAGAGTAGTGCATTTATTTATTTATTGTTTTTCAGCGAATGCACAGAACGGTTCGATCACCATGTGGACATTGGCTTTTTGTTTTGTCGGCAGTGTTCGTCCCAGAGTCCGTGGAAGAAGCTGTTTGGCCTGCGCAGGTCTGCTCAGAGCAAACACAGTATGAGCCCTGTAGGTTTCTACGCCACAGCTCGTACTAATCCTTCTGACTAACGCTGGTGCTGGCTGCGACGAAGGCCGACAGGCGGGCCGACGCTGGGGCGTTTAGCAGAGATTTGTTTTTCAAATGTTTCGCACGAGCGTTTGGACGCGTTTTGATATTGTCCGCATGAACGCTGCGGAGCACGCCACCTGATGATGCGGTTTGGTTGTCCAAAGATTAGGAACCGACTTCGCCGTCCACGCGACACCTGACTCGTTGCGGGACTGCCCTGCGCTGCATGTCAGAGCGCTTTGCAAAAGTATTCATGAATTATAAACGTCGTCTAACATTACAACTAGGACTCTGTAATTTTTGGAAGCCGATGTTTTGGTATTATTGTTATGTTTGCTATGACTGAGCATCATTTTCCTTACTACTGTCTTTCTTTTGCATTATCTTCATCATCGTGTCCCCGGCCCTTTTTCTGAGCTTCAGGTTCTCCATCCCTCAATAGTTAAGGTCGAAAGCAAAATTTTACTTCATTGCAATTAAATTAGAATAGCCTAGCAAATACTGCAACCAATTAGTAATTTGTAATTGCAACATTGCACATATTGATTTTTACAGTGATTATTACTATTTCGTATATTGTGCAACTCTAATTACAAATACAAAGTTTGAATAGATTTTATTGGGATTTTATGCAGCAAATTGGCATAAAGTAGGACTTACGATATAAATAAAACCTCATATTCCTTCTACTTCACAAGTGTGTTTTACTTTGTTCTGATCTGTCACATAATATTCAAATAAATATGTAGTAGTTTGTGATTTTTATGTGACAAAATATGTAAAAGTTTAACAGCATGAATGCTTTTGCAAGGCGCTGGGTGTCCCTGCACCAGCTTTGCATTTTTGCCTTTCTTTCTAGTTCTCAAATGAAAAAAACAAAACAAAACAAAACAAAAAAAAAACATTAACAGTATTTTAATTTGATCACAAACCCACTGATAGCAAGGAAACCTTTTTGGTCCTCTGAGCAGGAGGATGCTGAATCGACTGCCTCCCCTTGCTCTCCGCAGGTCTGCAGCGATAACGGATCTCAGCCTGAAAGTGCATGATTCTCGCAGCTGCATGCTATGTCTCCGGTCTAACTACCCAGTCCACCTTCTTGCTGTTCTCCTTCCGCGCTGACCGTCCCTAAGCTTGGTCGTTTTGCGACAGGCCCAGAGCGAGGAGATCTCCAGGGAGCGAACTGAGCGGCAGCGGCTGGAGCGGGACCTGGAGGAGGCGTCCAGGAGGCTGGCCATGGCCCACCAAGACATCCGCAGACTCAACAACGAGCTAGACGCGGCTAAGAACAACAACCAAGATCCATGTGGTACGTCGAAGACACATACACTCAGTAATCACGAATGTATTTTTAGTACTCGGAATCATTATCACACTGAACCGGAAGCTGCACAACTTTCTGCTTCTCACCTTTCAAGGTGCATTTGTGTGTATTTTTATTTTTTCATTTAAATTTGTATTTCTTATATACATTTTTGGCAGCGTACGAAGATAATGTCGGAAAAGCATTCTTAGTAAGCTTCTGAGTAATGTGGATGTTCTTCAAATTGTAGGATCTGAGCTTGAGGGGACGGTCCAGGAAGTTGAGTACCTGAGGAAGGAAGTGGACAAAATGAAACACAACGGTGAGACGACGTGGCGGGAATGAACTTTATTTGACCGCTTTGAAACTTTAGCAGACAGAAGTGCTGAAATTTTTATCCACAAGAAAAATTCCACTCCAAAAATCATGGGTGGTAACCCGTAATATAAAACAGTATTAAAGCTTTATTAATCTGTGCTGCAGTGAGACCATGACATGTTTTCATGTTATTTTGTTGTACAGTGAGCTCAACACCCCCCGCCCAGTGGCCTTTTAAAGAACTGCAGCTTGGCTTTTAAAATGGGGAAAACAAAACCTCCAGTGAAAAAGGTCAAAAATCTTTTTTTGCAGATATGATGAAGCTGCAGCGAGCCAAAGAGCAAAATGACAGACTGGATGCAGAGAACAGAGCTCTCAGGGAAAGACTACATGTCATAGAGTCCGAGAAGAAAAATCTTATGGATCAGGTAAATATGTAGTGTTTTTTTTTTCTATAAATGAAAATGCAAAGAGTCTTCCTGTAGTTAAGTTATTTTTTTGTTTGGTTTTTGTTTTGTCCAGATGACAAAACCTAATACAGAAAAAGAAGACTTGGAGAACAAAGGTACCGAATCTGAAAACTGCCTCTCCGCTGTGTCGACCCAAGAGAAGGATCCGATTCATAAACGGTAACGACGTGAACTCATCGAAAACGACGCTTTGCAAAGCAGCAACATTTCCTTCTTCGAGGCTCAAACAGGCCCGCGTCACCACTGTTCCCCCGCTAGGTGTCAGGAAGCGGTGGAAGACGGACTTGTGCAGGTGAGAGAGCTGCAGCGGCAGCTCCAGAGGCTACGCAAGGAGCAGGAGGAGCTGGAGGAGAGGAATGAGGAGCTGGAGGCCCTGCTGGGGGAGGCCCAGAACGCCAGCAAGGAGGAGAGGCATCGCCACGAGGGAGAGGTGGAGGGGCTGCACAGGAGGGTACGGGGAAAAGAGCTGTGACGGCATTTAATATTTAACAGGACGAAATAAACGATTGGTTGGATTAATTGAGAAGGATTGATTATTGAAGTAGTCGTCAGCTAAGTTAGCAATCGATTAATCGTTAACTGACGTGTACAGACTAAAAAAAAAAAAGGCCATTTGCTGAAAAAGCTGCATATTCAGAGCCTTGTACAGTTTTAGTCATAAACTGTACAAAAAAGTAAATATACATATATATTTTTTGCATCTAAGATGAAAACATTTTGTAAATGTGTTTTCTTCAACGTTCCTGAAGTGGTTTTGGCATCACCAAATGAACTAAAGAAATTCTATAGTGTTATTGCATTTTAAGCAGTAAAATGTTCATTTTCTTATTTAAAAACTAACTGAATTATTTGTTGATTTTCATCTTTTAGTGTGTTTCTATCGTTGCATAAACCATGCTCGAGTGGTCAAATGAAAAATCTGCACAACGTGCCATTTCTTTTTTTATTTTGTTTGACTGATTGACAAGTAAAGATCATTAGTTGGAGCCCTAGAAAGAAACGATGCATTTAAAGTAGTTGGTGATGTTAAAGTAGATGGAAGCTCGAAGGGGAAATAAATGTGTCCACTAAAACCCTCTGACCTCTGAATTTCACCATGTAGGTTAGAAACCTGGAGGCGGAGCTGAGAAAGCATGACGCTCAGGAGAAAGCACCGAGAAACGGCGACGAGGCGAAGGCCACCGAGTCCTACCTGCACGTCGTAAGAATTCACTTTTGTTATTATGCGGGCGACACAGCAGACTGTCTCGAAGCCGGTGACAAAAAAACTGTTGTTGTAATATTTACGGAAACTAAATGTCGACCAATCGGACATGCACGTTGGTCTCCCCTGTGCATGAAGCACCTGAGGGACAGCTCCCAGGAGAGGATGTCCCTGCTGGAGGCCCGACTGACTGAGGAGAAGGAGTGGAGGAAACAGCTGGAGTTGGATCTCACTGCTGCTCAGGCTGCCCTCAAGAAAGATAAAGAGGTAAAGATCTCACACATGCCGTCTGCGAGACCAAACAGCCAATCAACAGCTGCATGACTTTCTGAAAATCAGCTCATAAGTTTAAAAAAGAAAGAAAAAAAAATGTACGTTGCATTTGGTTTTAGGTGCACTATGCTGTTTAAGGTTACTAGTAATAGGAACTTCTGTTTTACCTACAGATATGAACAAATCTTTTCCCAACTGCCTTTTTGCAAATCGGCTCAGTATTTATTCCTCCGTTTTTTGTTTTTTTTTCCTTTTTTCCACCCCTCCGACGCTACAGGCTTTGCAGATAGGCGAGCGAGAGCTGAAGAAACTGAGACTCGAGGTCAGCGGTCTTCAGACCGAATGCCAGCAGGGGAAAACGCTCATCAAAAGCCTGACCCAGGTCAAGGGAGAGAAGGCCGTTCTAGAAGAAAAGGTGCGTCCGCTTCCCGGGTTTGAGATGGGAATAAACAGGACTCCAGTTTTGCTTAAAAGCCTTAATATATTCCTTTGACATTTCCAAGTTCTGTTAAATTACTCTTTTATTTAATAGACCAACATAAAGTAGTGCATCATCGTGAAGTAGAGAAAAAATATTCTACATTACTTTGACAATTTTATTTTATTTTTTTACCATTAAGATCTGTGTAAAATTGTAATGTTCATTTCTATTAATTTCCCCCCCGAGTCACTACATACATATTTTGCAAGTCATTTGGGGCTTTCCACACCAGGAAACTAAAACCTTTGGCCCGTTCTTTGCTGCATTCAAGTTCAAACGCACAAAGTGTGCAGCGTGATTATTTTACGCCATATTTTACGTGAGTGAGAGTTTCTCATCTTGATGTTTCTGGCCCTTTCAAGGTGGCCCAGATGGAGCGCGCCCACAGCAGACTCCAGAGTCAGCTGGAGCGCCACAAGGACAGTAACCAGACTCAGACAACAACGATGGAAAACAGACTGCAGGCTGATCAGACGCAGAAGCAGGTCGACAGCCTTCACGTCGAGTTCAGCAGCCTGCAGTCTTCACATGACAGTCTGAGGTAGGAAGCTCAAGAACACGAACGTCATCAGCTCGTAACCATACGGTGCGACTGGAACATTTGAATTGAAAATAGCTGTGTCTGGGCAGGAGCTGCAGCCCTGCTGCAAAATAGTAATTTTTTTTTTTTTTTTTTTTTATAGCCAGCGGAGAGATAAGACGGTGATATTGGCGCTTACTTGGTTTGCATACATATGCATATTTTTCAGGGAGGAGATGACCTCTGAGCGCCAGAAGACGGCCGAGCTGCAGGCGGAGCTGAGCGGCGCGGTTCACCTGAAGCTCGAGGCCGAAGGGAAAAGAGAGAGAGTGGAGCTGGAGGTCCAGCGGCTCCATAAGCAGCTGCAGTGGCATCAAGAGCAGCTGACCTCTGCAAAGGAGGCGCTTCGTCGCAGCCAGAAGGCTGAAATGGACACAGCTAACGCAGGGTCTGGGCCCGAGTCCGTAGAGAAAGTAAAGGTTGGGGGTTTGGATCAGGTAATTCAGTTGGCAGCTGTAAATCATCTCACATCGTCCAAACGTGGAGAAGATCGGCTTCACTGCTCAGTGAATCGAGTCGAGAAGAAAGCGCGTTTCCTCTTCATGTTTTTCATTGAAATCAAATATTTGCATACGCCCTTTACTCCTGAAAACAACTGAGAAAAGCCCAGATAATGAATCGACTTCCTACTATTAGGATTATGTTAGTTAATTTTCAACCTTTGAGTTAAATTGTGCACCTATTCATGTAGGCCAGTCTCGGATACAAATGGGGTTTTTCAAATTTGTTACTAAAAGGTCAACAAACCTGACTCGGTTACACCGGCTCTGTCAGGAGGAATGGGCCAATATTCCAGCAAGCTACAGTGAGAAGCTTGTAGAGGGGAAACCTCAAATGTCTTGACTCAAATCTAACAGTTCTACCAAATCCTTAGGATATGTTTGCAGACTTTGTATTTTAAAGAATGTAAAAAAAAAAGAAAAAAAAGAAAAAAAAAGTCATTATTCTTTCATTTAGAAAATATTAATACTTTTGGTGATCTCCGCTGGCCTTAAACCTTAAAGGACATGTTTAGTCTGATTTATCGTGAGGAAGTATTTTTGTTTTGTCTTTTTTATGAAGGACGTATAAATATCTTGTTTCAGCTGCTTTCATGTCTCTCCGTTTTATGTTGATAGCTTTCATCTTTGAAGAAGGAAATGAGCGTCCTGGAAGATAAGCTGGAGGAGGAGCGGCAGCTGGCCTCTCAGCACCAAATGGCTCTTCAGGCTCAGATTAGTGAAGCCCAGGCACATATCAAGGTACACGTGCTCACAACATGTGTACCTCCACATTATGTCCTAGCAACCGCTTTGTGTTTGTGTAGTTGGAGCTTGACAAAATGAATAAATAAATAAATGTTTGGTAAAGATTGGCACAAAGCAGCTGACACACTTTTTTTTTTTTTTCGAGGCGTTTACTGACCTAATGAGATCAGCACTCAAACATCTTATGTGGATGAAAATGGCTTAGAGAAAACCAGTAGCACCTAACAAAAAGTACCTCAGCACTGATCAATTTAAAAAAAAATGTTAATGATTCAAAGAAAAAAAAAATTAAAAAGACAACTAATTTTTGGTGTAACCCTGATTCTAAAAATTGCTTATAATTTTTGCATTTGTGTTTCTAGATTAAAAGATAAATGAATGTTCAGGCTTTTTTTTTTTAACACATCTTTACGTCTCTCTTTAAGTTCATATTTTTATGCATTTTCATGTAATTTTCACCTTTGAGGTTGCAGGAGCTGCACACGTTTTTTGCTCTTTAAGCACTTGACAACCACATGAATGTTTTTATTTGGATAACAAATTAACACTGAAAAGTAGATTTTTTTTTCAATGATTAGATCCCTTGTTAAAATTACTCTTATGGTCCAGCTGCAAAGCGCGTGACCCGTATACGCGGCCGCCACAGGTTCGAGTTCATGACCTCTGCCGCATCTCTCCCACCTCTCTTAGCCCACTTTTCTGTCAGATACAGGCCACGATAACCGACAAAACCCTTTAAAAAAAAACATTAACTGGTTCAATGATTCCTCAGTTTATTTTAGTTTATGGCCTTTGCATCTCTTTAACTTTTTGGATCTTTCAAACTCAAAATGTTTTTTTTTTTTTTTTTTTTCCCCCCATCTTAAGTTGCAAGACTCGCTGCTGAGCCAGAAGGCGGAGGAGGCGAAACAGATGAAGCAAGACGTGCAGAGGGCCCAGAGCCTGTTCACCTCGGCCGAGAAGGAGCTGCGCTACGAGAAGGAAAAGAGCCTGGATCTGAAGAGACACAACACTCTGCTGGAGCAGGAGAATCTCAAGGTTGGCGTTCAGTTTCTTCACATTTGGAATTTGCTAACCGGCAAATTGTCGTCTCAGTCACTCGCTGGCCTCTTTTACTCACTGTGAATGCTAATCACAGTAAAGGAGCAAAACTGAAAGTAATTTTTTGACTACCGTAATTTGATTTTGTTGGATATTAACTTCTTGTTTTCACTCATTCTTGTCCAGTCCAACTGAACCAACTCTGGAGAAGGAGAGCTCTTGCTCTCCTCTGAAGGCTCTGTTCTCTTGTGTGTCTCTTCAGCTTGGCGCTGAACTCAAGCAGGCCCAGTCTAAGCTGGCACAGGTGGAGCAGAAACTCCAAACTCGAGACGCCGAGTGCGAACGCCTGCAGCAAAAAGTCCGAGAGTTGGAGCTGCAGCTGATACGCAGCAGCACCAACGGCAGCGCCGCCGCCAGTCTGCAGGAGGAGTTGCAGGCCGAGAGGGCGCGGCTCGTCGCCGCCGAGAAGAAGGTCGGTGCTGCTGGCTCATGGACCTGTGGGATGACGGTTCCTTCTTTAGACCGGCTCTGCTCCGTCTGATGGATCTGAGCTTTCCAACATTTTGTTTGTGTGTTTTAGCGAATTCAACCTTCGATTACAAACACCGCAGAATGCATTTTTGAAATGGGTCAGAAGTTTGGGAAGTCGTTTTTCTTTTTTTTTTTTTTTCCCCCCGCAGGTGTTGGAGCTCCAGCAGCAGCTAAAGAACGCCCAGCACCAGCTACGTGTGGAGGAAGCTCGAGCCGGCGAGAGCAGCCGCCTGGAGAGGGAGAGCAGGGATCTGTTTGACTCTTTGTCGGCCCTCAGGGCCCAGCTGCAGGAGGGCCACATCGCCAGGTGACACAGAGTGGACCACGGCGTTATTCCCCCCCCCCCCCCCTCACGCTGCTGTAAGTTAATCAGGCCTCATTTTTTTTTTTTTCTTTCAAATG